GGCCGTGCACGCGTGCTGCTCGGCGGGACCCTGGAGATCCTGGACACGCGGCCACAGGACAGCGGCACCTACACATGCGTGGCCAGTAATGCGGGTGGCAACGACACCTACTTCGCCACCCTGACCGTGCAGCCCGAGCCGGCCACCAACCGGACCCCGGGTGAGGGTCACAACGAGACACTGTTGGCCACACGCTTCCCACTGGACCTCACCACCATCCTGGTGTCCACGGCCATGGGCTGTATCACTTTCCTGGGCGTGGTGCTCTTCTGCTTCGTGCTGCTGTTCGTGTGGAGCCGTGGCCGTGGACAACACAAGAATAACTTCTCCGTGGAATACTCCTTCCGAAAAGCCGACGGGCCTGCAGCCGCCGCCGGCCAAGGTGGCGCTCGGAAGTTCAACATGAAGATGATCTAAGCGCCCACCACCACCACCCACCTTCCCTCTCCGCCCCCACGATCCCCGGGGAGGAGGAAGGGGAGCCAGCGCCTGCTGATTTCCACCTATGCATTTCCTGCAGGCTGGGGGGAAGGGGAAGGTGCCGCAGCAAGCCTGCTCTCCAGCAAAACTTCCCCCTTTATGGTTTTTGTAGAAAGGACTCCTTTTCATCACAACGCATCTTTTGCAGTTTCTCAAGTGTTTTCTAAAGGTTTCATCCTGTCTTTCTGCCCCTGCTATATTATAGGTCGCTGGAATGGAGGGTGGAAGGATTTAGGGGTAAAGGGATTGGAGAGTGGGCTTCCTTCTACACATTGGCTAGGGGCTCAGAGCTCAAGAGTTCCCCCCTCTCCCTCCCGCCCCCATGTTTCCATTCAAAGCCAGGAGGTTGTATGTCCTGGCTCCCAACTTCCCTGTCCACACCCAAGTCTCCCATGGGGAAATGGTCTGCTCCCGAAACCCAGGAGGGGACCCCCAGCCTGAGGGAGCACACAGGAATATCTGCACTGTTCACACCTGTGTGCCCCTGAGCTCACACTCAGGGTTCACACTTGCTCACAATCTGGCACACAAGACCTATTACTCAGAGATGGACCTCGCCTTCCCCCCCTGCCCCCCCCCCCCCCCCCCGCCCCAAGTTAACCCTACAACCAGGGCATGGCACTGGAGCCCTTATGAGCAAACACAGCTCACACCCAGGACCTGCTGAGCCCACACCACAGATACATTCAGCTCACACCCAGACACAGCTAAGCAGCAGGTGACCTCCCACAGACCTAAGGGCTGGCCAGATTTTGCTGAGCAGGTCAGACACACAACTGAAGCCAAGCACACACCAGTGCTCCTTGTTGTGGGTCTCCACACCTTATCCTACATTTTCCCTCCCCTCTGGCCCAAAGGGGCTGTCCACTAAGAGAAACCATGTCCCACAGTCTCACAGCAGACCTAGCTGCCACAGGCTCCCTGTGGGCCACTCTGAGATCTGGGTTATCTTTTAAGCAAGCCAGCTTGGACAGCCTGAGTGTGGCCTCCTTTTGGACACCCAGGTGGGGAAAGATGGCAAGTAGGCTGGCACTCAAGGTCATTTCTATGTACCCTCCAAGGGCAGTAATGAACAACCAGACCAAACAAAGGTTTTGTGTCCCCTAGGGAGGCCTAGATCCCCAATCACTCTAGGAAAGCCACAGAGGATCTGAGTCTCTACAACTTTAGGGCCTCAGACTTAGGATCAGCTTGGGGACTCCAGGCCAGAGTAAAGCAGAAAGCCCCTCCCCCATGATCACTGTCTCTCTGTCTGGTGCTCAGTAGGTGGTGAGCACCCATTGCAGGGGGAGAACAAACAGGAATGATCCTACCCAGAGGGATTCCAGCACCTGACAAGGCCTGGCCACAACCCGGCCTTCCCCTACCTTGTTCTTGTCCCACTCTTCATGTTGGCCAGATGACAGGACACTGTTGAAGGAAGAGGCATGGGAAACTTTGTGCAGCTTGATTTTAGCCTAAAAAGGGCTTGGGCGTTGACCAGAAGGGGAGGACAGGCTCCCCAAGGATGTTGTAAGAAGAGCTTGGAGCCAGCTCTACTTCCTCCCACCCAGCAGTGTGATCTGAGGACCACCTTGTATCTTCCTCTAGACACAAGGTTTGAAAGTCTAGCCTTTGCCCAACACTCCCAGGCCAGGCCTACAAATGAGCTTTTTGACTCAATTTGGATCCAGACCCTTCAAAGTTCTGACCAGAGAGATAACTATCTTAAGATAAAAGATTGAGATAGAGCTTGGTGCAGGAGAACATGGGGAACCCCAGTCCTGCCCTTGATATACAGATGGATAGCAGGACATGAGTGAGGGGTGGAGACTATAACCCCAGGCCCCACCCCTGAGCCTGGCAGAACTCACCACTCTGGTCCCTCAGCATCCTCCTGACCCTCAATTGCCATGACAACCCTGAGGGCCTTCCAAAATGACATCCAAGTGCCTTTAGCATCACTAAAAGACAGGAGGAGATGCTTTTCCAGCAGTATAGGGGTCTACAGAGTATCAGTCCATTTGGAATTTCGCAGCCCCTCCCTCCCCCCCCAGCCTCCCATTTCCCCATCCTGCTGTGTTTGATTGGAATCTAATAAAATTGAAACTGATTTAATAACCAACTTCAGACTATTTTTCATGCCCATGGGAGAAGTACATGAGCATGAGGCAGGGGTTGCCAGGTCTCTGGGGAGAGTGACCTAGTTCTGTTACCAAAGCAGACCTAGAGAGTGACATGTCATGATGACATCACATCTCACACTTTAGGAGCAGCCATATCATTCCTAGCATGTTTTGGGGGGTTTTTTTTGTTAGTTTGGTCAGTCATGGGGGCTGAACTCTGGGCCTGAGCTCAGTCCCTCAGCTCTTCAGCTCAAGTCTAGGGCCCTACCACTTGAGCCACAGCGCCACTTCTGGCTTTTTTTTTTTGCTTATGTGGTACTGAGGAATCAAACCCAGGGCCTCATGCATGCAAGGCAAGCGCTCTACCACTGAGCCACCTTCCCAGACAACAAGTTCTCCTGGTGTTTCAGTTTTGAAGATTCTGGGACTGAACAGGGGACATGGCCAAGCAGAAGGGGAAGTGCTTCTTTAGGAAGTGAAAACCCAGAACAAAGAGCCTGGTTGCATTTTTCTTTGAACAGACATGACTAGAGTTTTCTGTGTGTGTGTGTGTGTGTGTTTTCTGTGTGTGTGTGTGTGTGTGTGTGTGCGCGCGCGCACGCACCATGTGCACACACGCGCATGCCAGTCCTGGGGCTTTGAACTTGGGGCCTGTGCTCTGTCCCTAAGCCTTTTTTTTTTTTTGCCAGTCCTGGGGCTTGAACTCAGGGCCTGGACGCTGTCCCTGAGCTTCTTTTTGCTCAAGGCTATCACTCTACCACTTGAGCCACAGCACCATTTACAGCTTTTTCTGTTTATGTGGTACTGAGGAATCAAACCCAGGGCTTCATGCATGCTAGGCAAGCACTCTACCACTAGGCCATATTCCCAGCCCCACTTTGGGCTTTTTGGAGGTTAATTGGAGAGTCTCATGGACTTTCCTGGGCTGGGTTCAAAATGTGATCCTCTGATCTCAGCTTTCTGATTAGCTAGGATTACAGGTGTGAGCCACTGGTACCTGGCCCACTGGAGTTTTCTACCCTCCACTAAGATGAAGAAGCCAAATATGTCCCACTTCCCAGTCTCACAGGGGGCTCCCCATGACCACTTACCCTGACTCAGCCTCTGAAAATTCAGCTCATCTTTTTATCCATCCCTCCCATCCCATCCCATCCCACCCCGCCATGCTCCTACCCCTGCCACACACACAGCTTTTAGCTCCACCAGTCCTTAATAGTGGCTTCTTTCTAGTATGCATTCCTGTCCCCCTCCTGTCTTCTGAGGGCATGGGGAGGGGGCTCCCAGCCCACTGATGGGAAGTGATGCCGAAAGGTTTCAAACCAACCATGGGGCCTGGCCTGCATTCTAATAGTTCCCTAGCATTTCCTGTTGGGCTGCTGGCCCCAATTAGATACATCCTAGGAAGCTGGGGCCTGCAACTACAGGGACTCTCCTCTCAGAGGTCACTCTGGTCTGAAGGTAGGGGAGACCAAAAGGAGTCTGGGCAGCAGTACTAACTGTATTGTTGGGGTCCAAGTCAGGGAGGTTCCTTCAGTGCCTGCTTGGCTTGCTGGTGAGAGCTGAGAGCCTATTGACTAGGCTCAATAGTGGCTTCCTTTGGAATGTCCGTGTCCAGCTGTCCCCAAGATGTCTTATGGGTTGGACATTCTATCCCCATCCCAAAAGTACAGTGGATGCTTCCCCTGAGTGATTGATAGGTAACATACAGAGAGGGCTGGGTGCTGGGTGCTGCTCAGTGGTAGAGTGCTTGCTTAGGATGCATGAAACCCTGGGTTCAATTCCTCAGTACCACATAAACAGAAAAAGCCAGAAGTGGCACCATGGCTCAAGTGGTAGAGTGCTAGTCTTGAGAAAAAGAAGCTCATATACAGTGCCCAGATCCTGAGTTCAAGCCCCAGGACTGGCCAAAAGAAAAAAAAGCTGGAAGTATTAGTGTGGCTCAAATGGTAGAGTACTAGCTTTGATTTTTTTTTTTTGCCAGTCCTGGGGCTTGAACTCAGGGCCTGGGTACTGTCCCTGAACTTTTTTTGTTCAAGGCCAGCACTCTGCCACTTGAGCCAGTGCCACTTCCAGCTTTTTCTGTTTATATGCTACTGTGGACTTGAACCCAGGGCTTCATGCATGCTAGACAAGCACTCTACCACTAAGCCATATTCCCAGCCCAAGTACCAGCTGAGTAGAAAAAGCCAAGCAAGAGCAGGAGGCCCTGAGTTCAAGCCCCAGACAGTATCAGCACAAAATAGAACCCAGAAAGGGAAAGAAACCCACCCAAGGTCATGGCTGGGCTCGGAAGTCCTGATACATTGGGGTGTCCCTGATATGGGGTATCCCTGATATGCTGGAGGGCTTTCTGGCACTATTATACAAAGAGCTTTCACCTGTGCACATGATCACCCCACAGGTGTCCACAGCAGCATGAGCCACCTGGAGCCACCTACTGAGACTCCTAAGCTTGAAAGTCCCACCTGCCAGCCCAACCCATATACACAACCTTGGTGAGCAGTGAGAGCGGGGCCAGGCTGGGAGCAGCCAGGGGAATTGCCACAAACTGGGAACCATGAGTATGGAGCCCATACAGGGGCATCTACAGGGGCTTCTGGGATGGTGTCTTGCCTAGATCTGTGCAGAAAGCTTGGGGTCACCTGGTGCTGGATAGCACAACTCTCTACACTTACTTGACCCAGCCCTCCTTCCTGGCCTCCTCTACAAATTGAGGGTGCCCTCCTTCCCTGGAGAACACCAAGTCTTTGCATATTTAATTACATTTCTTTTAAGGATGGAAGATCTGGAGCAAGATGGAGTCACATGTAAAGCATCCATGCCCCATGTGTCTGCAACCCCATCTCTCCGTCCACAGGGGAGGTCCATGCCCACCTACTGGCTTCCAAGGCCTACTGACCTGGAATTCCTGGTCACTCTCCTCAGATCCACGGCCTTGTCCCCACCCCTACTGAAAAAGACCCCCACCTGGACCCTGTTTCTGCCTACTCACAGAGTCCCCATTTGGGGCCCACCAAGACAGCCTCACACTGAGCTCCCACAGTGCGGATGAGAGCCAGGCCAAGGTGACATCCACCTGTCCCCCTGAAGAGCTGGCTTTCATTACACTTGATGATGCACTAGGCCCCTTCCTCCTAATTCTGCATAATCCTGAGGCCATGCTATGTTAGCTGCCTGGCAGCTAGATGCCCTTCATGCCATCCACTCGCAGCTCCATGCACGGCTCACCAGTAGCTGCCCTGGGCCTTGTCATACCAACTCTGGCTTCCACCTGCCGAACAGCACGCCTTGTACAGGGAGCAAGAATGCACTCTATTACCGATTGGTGTGTGTGGATGAGGATGTATGGCACATGCCTGCCACCACAGTGAGTCCTGCAGGGTCAGGCTGGTCACATTACCCTTCTTCCAGATGTCCCCAGCTGTCCATCTTATTGTTTGTTAGTTAGTTTATTGTGCTGGTACTGGAGCTTGAACCCAAGGACTTAATCTCTCACTTGTTTTTTTTTTTTGTTCAAGGCTAGCATTCTAACACTTGCCCACAGCTTCACTGGTTAATTGAAGAGATAAGAATTTCTCACATTTGTCTTCCCAGGTTGGCTTTGAACCGCAGTCCTCCTATCTCAGCCTCCTGAGTAGCTAGGATTACAGGCATGAACCATCAGCATCTGCTTCCTTAATTTCCATCTTAAAATATAACCAAAACAGGGGAGGAGAATGTGGCTTAGTGATAGAGTGTTTGCCTAGCATGGTTTCAGACATGGGTTCAATTCCTTAGTACCACATAAACAGAAAAAGCCAAAGTGGCTCTGTGGCTCAAGTGGTAGAGTGCTATCCTTGAGCAAAAGAAGCTCGGGAGTTCAAGCCTCAGGACTGGCCAAAAAAAAGGGGGGGAGCGGATAATTAAATATAACCAAAACATACATGCTCAACTCTGATTAAATTTGGGAGCTTTTGGAACCATGTTTCTAAAGGGTGAAACCACTTGTAGCCTGAAGTATTTGCAATAGGGTCATATTAAAACCCCTCTGGACCAAGTGCTGGTGACTCATGCTTATAATCCTCACTACTCAGGAGGCTGAGATCTGTCTGAGGATCACAGTTCAAAGCCAGCCTGAGCAGGAAAGTCTGTGAGACTCTTATCTCCAATTAACTGTCAAAAAAAAACCCAGAAGCTGATACCTACATCAAACAGGAATCTAAATGTACTCTATAAAAGTTAAATGACACATGTACATTGACCTAATTTCTATGTATTGGATAAAAAGTTATAATGTCAAAAACAAAAAAACAGAAGCTGAGCTGTGGCTCAAAGTGGTAGAGCGCTGGCCTTGAGCAAAGGAGCTCAGAGACAGTACCCAACCCCTGAGTTCAAGGCTCCTGAACCACAAAAAAATAAAACCCTTTGGAGCTGGGCTCCAGGCTCACACCTGTAATCCTACTACTCAGGAGAGAGATTTGAGGATCGAGATTCAAAGCCAGCCCAGGCAAGAAAGTCTGTGAGACTGTTTATCTCTAATAAACCACCAGAAAACCTGATATGGTGCGGTGGCTCAAGTGGTAGAGCATTAGTCTTGAGCTGAAAAGCTGAGGGACAGGGCCCAGGCCCAGAGTTCAAGCCCCACAACTGACACACACACAAAAAAAAAACCCTTTGGGAGCCAGGTACCCATGGCTCATACCTGTAATCCTAGCTACTTAAGAGATTCTTTTTTTTTTGTATTTTTTTAAATTTTATTTTATTGTAAAGATGCTGTACAGAGGAGTTACAGTTACATGAGAAAGGCAGTAAGTACATTTCTTGTTGAGCATTGTTTCCCTTGTCAGGAGATTCTTATCTCCAATTAACTGTCAAAAAAGCCAGAAGTAGAGCTGTGGTTCAAGTGGTAGAGTGCCAGCCTCAAACAGAAAAGCTAAGGGACATTACCCAGGCCTTAAGTTCAAGCCCAAGCACATTCATACACATGCGCGCGCATTCGCACGCACACACACACACACACACACACACACACACACAATCTTGGGTCCCTAATTACCATCCTCTCTAACGTAATTTTCCTCAAAAGTCATCACTGGGTGCTAATATCCACATCAACTCTGAGCCCTGCTTCCAGGATCCCTGTGGCCAGCCCTTCCTCCTCCCTGCCTTCCACCCAAACTTGTAGGAAGTGACTGGGGTGGTTGGGTGACTCAGGACAAGTAAGTCCATTAGCAGGTGGGGCTGCTTGGGAAAACTCAGTGGTCTAGGACCTGATGTTCCCTTCTGTAATGCAGGTACCCAATTCTGGAGTGGAATTACTCCATCAAAAGGGTGTGGAACTGCAGGCCTACCTGCCCCCCTCATTTTAGTCTCCAGGGACTCTGCCAGAGGGCACACTGACTGCAATGCCCTGAAGAGGCCCAGCCACACTGGCCACAGAGGTACCTGAGCACACAGTGGCCCAGTGGCTGGAGGAGGTCAGTGAGCCTCAGCCTTAATGGGCCATGCTCAGGCCTAGAGCTCCTGAAGGAGCATGGTGTGACCCTGACCAAGTTGAGGCCCAAGAATCTGCTGCTGGCTGAGCCTCAGGGCTGTGGCCCGGCACTTGCTGCTGACTTTGGCTGGTATCTGTCAGTGTTTGCCAGGTGCCCATACTCTACAGCTCAGCTGCCATACCACACCCTCAGCCACACTCTTGGCTGCCAGCCTGGAATGCCTACCTGTCCTGCTGCCCTGCACCAGACCCTCTGCTACTCAGCCATGACAGGGACTGCAGGCACTACTTTAGGGGCCAGGGCCAGAGCTGCGCTGCCAGGGTGCTCCACTAGGATGCTGGCTGCAGTTGCAATGCGCAGTGCTGCTCATGCCCCTAGCTGAACACGCTGTCGGAAGCCAGGTACCTGGTCCAGGACTGGCTTTGCTGTGAGCACCTGACTGAGGCCACCCAAGTGTCGCTGGGGCAAACCCTGGTGCTGCTGTGGACTGATCCCAAGAGTGGACACCCTTGACCAGAGCTAATGCTGATGGCCAACATCTCCATGCTAGAGCAGTTACTTGCCCTCCAAAAGAGATCAAGAGGCCAGCAGAGAGCTCAAGGATGTGCCATTCTCCCTCTATAATTCCTGACCCTTCCTACACTGAGACTAATGGCCAATGCTTACAAAGAATGTGCAAAGCCCTGCAATTAAGGTGCTGGGTCTGTACTGTCTCCATGAAGATAAACACTGTCCTTACAGGGACAGAACCTAAAGCACTGCTGGAGCCTGGATTGTCTTGTGTGCTGAACACAGCCAGTGACTCTCCAAGATTGTATCATCCAATCCCTTGCCAAGTCTGGACTGTCAGGCATCAGACACACCCATATGCCTGGCTTTTTCTTCTTTTCCCCCTTCCAACTTGCTACACCCATCTGACCTCTTACGGTTGCTGGATTCTTCCAGTCTCCAAAGCTTTGCATAGGCTGTTCACTCTGCCTCTAAGCAAATAAGGTGTCTCCTGGTTCCTGTCCTATTGGGTTCCTCACCTGGCTTCTCTCAGCCAGCCCCCAGCTGGAAGTATTTATTCTCTACATCTGTTACAGCCAGGATTGCCCACAAGACCCTGAGCTCCCAGAGTGCAGGAACCAGCCAGGCATGACACACAATAGAGTATAAGGAGTCAAGCCAGGCACTGGTGTCTCATACCTGTAATCCTTGCTACTCAGAAAAATGAAATCTGAGGATCGTGATTCAAAGCCAGCCTGGGTAGGAAAGTCTGTGAAACTCATCTCCAAATAATCACCCCAAAACGACATGGAGCTGTGGTTGAGTGGTAGAGCACTAGCCTTGAGCAAAAAAAGCTCAGGGACAGCACCCAGACCCTTAGTTCAAGCCCCATGACTGACAAAAATATTTTTATTTTTTTTTGGGTCCGGTGGTGGGGCCTGAACTCTGGGCCTGGGCGCTGTCCCTCAGCTCTTCAGCTCGAGGCTAGCACTCTACCATTTGAGCCACAGAGCCACTTCCGGCTTTTTTTTTATGTGGTGCTGAGGAATCGAACCCAGGGCCTCGAGCATGCAAGGCTAGTGCTCTACCACTTGAGCCACAGCGCCACTTCTGGCTTTTTTCTTTTTGCTTATGTAGTGCTGAGGAATCGAACGCAGGGCGGGCCTCATGCATGCAAGGCAAGCGCTCTACCACTGAGCCACCTTCCCAGCCCTAGTTTTTTATCTTGCATTTATACATATATACATAAAATGGAATAATTGAGCAGACAAGACCTACAGAGGGTAAGGTGACAGATGGAGTCTCTAGTTCTCTCTCTAGTTTCTTCTGGGACCTCAGTGGTGCCCACATGCGCACACAACCCCCTCCCATAGCAATCAGGGATCCTAACCTCCAGGTAGGGCAGGGTCTTTCTCCTGCTCAAATACATTCCTAGTGTTTTCAATAGAGAGCTCTCCCACATATCTGCCAATTCTCTGGCCAGCTTCTACATTCAACCTAGAAGGGTCAAGCATTTATTCCCCACTCCCTGCCCCCCAGTATTTTATTGTGCTTTAACTCAGGGCCTGGGTGGTCATTTAGCTTCTTTTGCTTAAAGCTGATACTACCACTTGAGCCACAGCTCGCTCCTCTTATGGCTTTTTTGGTTAATCAGATGAATCTCATGTCAGGACGGGCTTTCAAATACAATCCTCAGCTCTGTCTTTGTATGAATGTGTGACCACTGGTACCTGGGGACCAGTTTCTCCCACTAGAACACTTCTAATTGCCTCTACTTCATTCTGCAACCCCACCACATTTGCACTTCTTGAAATGTCCAGTTGTCTTCCTATCCCTGATTGTACCCTCATCATTCAAATGGTTGAATGTTAACACCCTCACCCCAAGTGTACCTCAATGGCTGAGCTCTGCCTGGCATTCTAGTATCCTGTTTTCTAACTTTGAGGGGCATGAATCTCTGGGCAGTATTCAGATATGACCAGCAGGTGGCACTACAACCCTACGGATTGTGGCAGTTTGCTCACTTTTTTACAACCTGCCAGGAACTTGCAGGTCCTGCAGGTGGGCTGCACAACCCGAGTAACCAACCCCAACCCTCAGGCCTCCAGCACCCCCGAAGTCCAGGAGTCAGGCACAGAACTTCCCAACAAGGCCTCAGGGATGACTGGGACCCATGAAGGGTATTGATAACCAGCCACCCAGATGGGTCAGAAAAGTACTACATCTCTACGCAAACCTACCTGGTATGCAAACCTACCTGGTATACGAGGTAATCAGGCTTGAGAGACCCAAACAGCCCAATCACTAGGCACCACCTTCCCAGAAGGATGACCACATGCCATGCACCTGATGCCAAGCAATAGCTCCATGATGACAAACATAGATCCCTCAGCCAAGCCTCCCTCATCACCCACAACACCACAAAGCAAACACAGGTGGTAGAGGTGATCATTTTTATTTAGATTTTTGAGAGCAATAGAAGGGTAGATTATTTTACCTATCTTACCAAGTTAGGAGACCTACAACTTTCCAAGACTTCAAATAAGAAACACCTCCTCAAAGTACAAGGAGAATCTGAATCATCTTATACCAGCAATAAAAAAGTAAAATATAAACTTTTATTTAGAATTAAAGCAAATACTTCAGTATCACAAACACAATATTAAACTTCAAGAAATATACCGCTAATTTGGAGTGAGCGTTTATTTGCACAATCATGACATGCGGACAAAACAGGAGAGAGAAGAGTCTGAATTCCCAGCCCACCCACAGCAGGACACAATGAACTGCAGGGGGCAAGGTGGGCTCACTACTCTTCCTCTCCTGAAGACTCTCTTTCCAATGTGTAGGCCATGAAGCAAGCGTCGGGTCTCTTGGGGACAAGGGGATGCCCTGGTCTCACAATCTCAAAGCCCAAAAAGCTGAAAGTTCGGAACAAGGCGGCTGTGGGGAAAACATAAGAACCCAAAGGTCATCAGAAAAGCCCCCATGCCCAGGTCACTTGTAGAGCCAGCCCAGGGGCCTCCCTGCAGCATGGGAGAGTGAATACAAAACCCTGGGCTTCCAAAAGCACAGGTGCAGCAGCCTGAATGCCCAGCTCCCCCCTCTGGTTCCCAGCACACCAGAGAAGCAGGGGTCCCGGCCACTGCCTACCTCTGTCCTCGCGGTTCTTATGGAAGCAAATGAAGACATGGTCAGCTCGGAGCTGCTCCTCAGCAAACTCGAGCAGAACTGCAAAACTAAAGCACAACCAGCAGCATCAGCACCTTGCCTGCCCTCCCCTCCCGTCCTTTCACACACTACTAGTCCTGGCCCTTTACACCTACAAAGGCACTCAGCTCTGTAGTGGGATAACCAACCTGGGCAGAGCCAGATCTGAGTAGCACCCTTGTCCCCACCTTGCCAAAAAAGGCCCGTAGACATTACCAGTTTGTCCTATGGAGCAGAATTCGAAGCCCCTCCCCACAACTTAGATCTCTATTTAAATCAGAAGGCTCACTCCTCATTTCAGGGTAACATGCCTGAGGATGGCCTTGCTTCTCACCTGTCCTTGCTCCCTTCGGGCAGAGGGCCGCCTGGGAGCTCGATGTAGAGACTGCTACCACTCCACACCGCTCTCCAGGTGATGTGTTTGGCCTCCGTGAGCCTGGACTGGACGCTGAGAATTCTCGTCTTGTTATTAGACGTTAGTTCCTCTGTTACATTCAGCCGATTATCCTGTGGCACAGAGCCAAACCCTGTATCAGAGATCACCCCCTCTATACAAAAAGAAAAATCCCCAAATAAAAGGCAGAGGCCCCAATCACCCACGGAGCAGTGCTTGAGACACCCTAATTTCTGAAGCCCCTCCTGCTCAGTCCCCCAGCCCAGGGCCCAGTACTTACAGAGTAAAATAAGTTAGCTGAAAGATTGTGATCCCTCTGACTATTCCCTCGCCCACCTGGGATCTTCAGGGGTGGGTGAGGGACATCAGGAGCACCACTGAGGCCCCGGACCCAGGTTACTACAGCAATTGAGGGAGACCCTGGAACTGAGGAGACAAGATGATTAGAAGGCAGGAAAGAAAAAAAAAAATCGACCCAAATTCCCCATGCTGAGGTACCAGGAAGGCTTTCTATTAACCCTGCCTAATTTAAGATGCCCAGCTTACATGTCCCCTGCTGGGACATGTCCCTCTCCTGGCTGCAGGAGGTACATTTAAAATTTAATGTAGCACCTCAGTACTCTCTGGCGTCTACCTGGATGAGCACCTATCTCTCCACCCCAATCCTCCTCATGAAGTCTTTTGTTTTTTAGCTGGTCCTGCTAGCGCTCAACCACTTGAGCCACAGCACCACTTCCGACTTTTTCTGTGTATGGGGCACTGAAGAATAGAACCCAGAACTTCAGGCATGCTAGGCAAGCAATCTACCACTAAGCCACATTCCCAGCTCCCCTCATGCAGTCTTTTTTTTTTTTTTAGGAATTTTTTTTATTACTTATTTTTTTGGGGGTCCAGTCGTGGGCCTGAACTCTGGGCTTGGGCGCTGTCCCTCAGCTCTTCAGCTCAAGGCTAGCGCTCTACCACCTGAGCCACAGTACCACTTCCGGCTTTTTTCTTTTTTCTTATGTGGTGCTGAGGAATCAAACCCAGGGCCTCATGCATGCATGGTAAGCGCTCTACCACTGAGCCACCTTCCCAGCCCCATAATTTTTTTTTGGGGGGGGGGGTCCGGTCGTGAGCCTGAACTCTGGGCCTGGGCGCTGTCCCTCAGCTCTTCAGCTCAAGGCTAGCACTCTACCACTTGAGCCTTGAGTCACAGCGCCATTTCCGGCTTTTTGCTTTTTGCTTATGTGGTGCTGAGGAATCGAACCCAGGGCCTCATGCATGCAAGGCAAACACTCTACCACTGAGCCACCTTCCCAGCCCCCTCATACAGTCTTAAATGTTGGTTTCTCCCCTCAGTTCTTCAGCTCCTCTTTTCCTTTACACCAGCCAGATTCAGTTCCAGCTTTATTCTAGGAAGCAGTCACAGCCTTCCGAGGTAAAGCTGATGGCCACAGACCTCAGCTGGTCGGACACACCCAGGGGCCCAGGGGCACCGCCTGTTTTGATCCTAATACCGAAGTCTTAGGGCCCCTCCCCACCTCAGCCGCAATCTCCCGGTTGCGTCATCTCGTTGTGGCGCCCGGGGGGAGATTTTCACAATTGCGCAGCAGCAGCAGCAGCGCCAGCAGCCATTTGCTGCGCAGTGTAAACAGGCCCCAAAGTCGCCTCCATTTTGCACGGCTCCCAAGGCCTCCATCAACCCCGCTGGGACAATGGCTCAATCTCTCGTGACCAGGCTAATGGAGGCCCACCGTGGGAGCCCTGGGAGGAGGGGCCAGGACTCCAAGCCACACCAGCACCGCTGCCCACTACACCTTCGGCACCGCCGATCGCGTTAGTACCAGCCCGCTCTTCCTGGACAAGGCAGCTCCTGGTCGCCGTCTACTTGGGCGGCCGACGCAAGGTGCCCAGGGCCATCCACACCGATTGGCTCCGAAGCTTAAGAAGCAGTCGAGGCCATCGGTGCATCCTCGAAGCGCTCATGTTTTCACAACCAACACTTGTCAGCCAAGCCCGAAAAGTGCACATTCATCTCGGTCTCGCAGCCCCACTCGGCCGGTAACAGCCGTCCCCAACTCCGATCCTGCCCCCTCTCCCCACCCCCGCTTTCCGCGCGTGACTCCAAATCCGACCCAATTCTACCTACCCTCTCCCTGCTAAATCAGACTGCCTGTGCTGAGAGCTCCAAATGACCCTCGAACCCCCAAATCCGACTCTCGAATTCATACCCCACTCCAAACAACTCTTTCTCCTCTCCCCCTCAAATGGGGAAGAGCCATGATTCCACCAAGACAAAGTCTCCCCACCCGGTACCACCCTAAATCTGTCACTCGAGGCCCCTCCTCCAAATCAAACTCTCCATTCGGTGCCCCCGAATTTCTAAGGCTGGAAAGGTTAACCGAGTCCAGTCCCCAAATTAAAGAGTCCTCACCCTGCGACTCCCCCAGTCCTACCCAGAACCCCCCGCCCTCTAAGCCAATTAACCCAAAACCCCGAGAGCGCTGCCAGGCGGGGAAGGGGCGGGGGGGGGGGGGGGGAGAATCTAGGAACCGGCCCCGCCCCCACTAGGGCGAGAACCCGCGCCCAGTGCGATTGTGGCCTCGACAAAGGGGTGGATCTCGCGCTCTTAGGGCCGACCTAGCGTCTTGAGGTCAGCCCGTCGCAGACCTGCGCCGCCGGCGCTTCTGGAAGCATCCGGCGGGGGGCGGGGCGCTCACCTCTCGCTGCTGCGGCCGCCGCGGCTGTGCAGGCTGAGGAGCGGCATGATGCGGCTGGTGTGGACGGTGGCGCTAGGTTTATCCCCTTCCTTCTCTCTGGCGAAGCAGTGGCTGTTGAGGATCCGCTGCAGGGAGGATTTCACCATCCGGCCGCTGGGGGTCCGAAACCAGGAAAACCTCCGCTGCGCCTCTCCGCGCCGCCGCCGCTGCTCGCCGTTCGCAAAATGGCGCCGCCGCCACCGCCCACCTTTATAGACGCCGCTCCTAGGCCACGCCCCCTCCCACGCCGCCGCGAACGCAGCCGCACGAGGGGGCGGAGCCCTAGGGGCCACCGGAAGAACCCGGCGCGCCGTCCAGTCTCGCCGTTTGATTGGTGAAGGGTGATGAGAGACCATCAATCCGTGCCATGGATTGGTCATAGCATTTGAGGTCCTGCCCCGCTGCGTCACCTTACGGGAGTGCAGGAGGCGGGGCTACTGTGGCGCGGAGTTTGCGCCGCGTGCGTCCCGCCGTCGCCCCGCCCTCCACACCCAGGCTTGGGGGTCGGGGCGTCTTGCCAGAACGTACCTGTTTCCTCGGGGTTATTTACCAGGCCCCCGCATCAGTTGGGTCGCTCACCTTTCCTGCCACGTACTCTAAGGGTCCCTTCACCCAGAAGAACTTGTCTCCGGGGCGGCTGACGGCGTCAAAGCTCGCTGGGTATTTGGGAGAAGAGGAGGAGGTCCCCCAGGGTGCCCATCCCCCACAGGACAAAATTATTTTCAGTAATGACCTTGTAATAATCGGTTATTATTGTGTTCTTAATTTGGCCTCTCAGTTTGAAAACAACTTGATAATTAAAAAAAAAAAACCTCAAGGTTCATGCTACGGAAATCTAGAAAAATATTTCCTGTAAAACGTGGATATAAGCAAAAATGTTAGCGCTGGAGGTGTGGCTTAAGGGACAGAGCACTAACACCACAACTGAGGTCCTGATAAACTCAGTAGCGGCCAAATTTTATTTTATTTTTTGCCAAGGATTAAATTCACATTTGTTTTTTTTGTTTTTTTTATTGTGAAAATACTGTACAGAGGGGTTACAATTACATTGGCAAGATAATGAGTACATTTCTTATCAAGCATGTAGCCTCCTCCTTTGTTTCCCCTTCCTTAATTCACATTTGTGTGTGTGTATATAGATTATCGTCCCTCCTACCCCAAGAAAAGTTAAAATTTAGAAACAGCCAGCAACTTGTGGCTCAGGCCTATAAACCTAGCTACTCTGGAGGCTGACATATAAGGATCAGGGTTTAAAGCCAGCCAGGGCAGGAAAATCTGTAATACTCTCATCTCCAATTAACCAGTAAAAAGCCAAAAGTAGAGCAGTGGTTCAAGTGGTAGAGTACCAGACTTGAGGACACAAAAGCTCAGGAACAGCATCCAGGTCCTGAGTTCAAGCCAGCACACACACACACACACACACACAAATATTTTGTGTATGAACTAAATTAGATTTACCAAGCAAAGATAGCTTTTTGCAGCTAAATTTGGCAAAGCATGTCATGTGTGAACTACAATTTGGACTAAAGCAAAAATATTTTACCTCTTGGTTAAATTCAGAAATATATTTTGTTTTTAACTAGAATTTGTATTCAAGGAGCAAAGATAGAACTTCTTGCAGTTAAAAATCCAGAAACTATTTCATATGTAGTCTAACTCTTGGATTTACCAAGCAGATAGATTTTATCTCACAGTAAAATAGTTTCATATTTTATGTGTGAGTTAAGTAGTGCTCCTTGCAGTCCTTTGTTTCATGGTTTGTTTTGGTTTTAATGCTAAGGAGGGAACCCAAGATCTCGTGCAGGCTATCGACATGTTTTACCAGTGAGCTACAATTCTCTTCCCTGTTTCAAATATCAGGGATAAAATCCAAGGCCTTGCATTACCCAAGCAAGCACTATAACATTGACTACACACCCAGTCCAATTGTATCGGACTCCTTTGAAGTCAGGCATGGAGGTGCCTAACTATATTCATATCATTCAGGAGAATGAGTCAGGAAGATCTCAAGTTTGTAGTCAGTGTGAGCTACGTGTGTGTGTGTATGTGTGTGTTTGTCTGGTGGTAAAATGTTAACTGCTAAGTTGCAGAACACCAGTGGCCTTTGTAACACCACTCAGTCACTTAGTGACTGTCAGCTACAGGAAGATATTTGGGGTGTTCTAGAGAAAACACCATAACTTGCAAAGGCGCCTGTCTAACCTTCAACTACATGGACTTCTTTCCCTCCCATTAAAACCTTTCACACACCCCACCCCGTGCCCCCATAAAATAGAGATTGGAGGTTAAAAGTAAAAGGAAAAAAAAAACTCTTTTTCTTGACTAGCTTTGAGTGAAAACTGGTTCCTCCTACCAAGTTCTGTCTCCCAAATTTGTGGTCATTAAAGTAGAATATAGCAGGTACATCTGATTCTGGTAACAGTTTGAGCAAGCCAGCCAGAAGAAACCACCCTCTACCCCATGCTTCTACCAGGAAGTGTGGTGCTCTTGGGTCCTGCTAGGAGGGAAAATAGTCAAACATTTGCTTATGGTGGCCAAATCTAGAGATATGCCAGAAGCAGCTGAGAGGAATGTTCCCTTCTTTCTTGCTCCCAGCTTTAGCTACCTACAATGACTCTGTGTGTGTGTGTGTGTGTGTGTGTGTGTGTGTGTGTGTGTGCGCACGCGCGCGCATACACACACATGAGAGAGAGAGAGAGAGAATGGGGCTTGAACTCAGTGCTTAGGTGCTGTCCCTGAACTTTTTTTATTCAAGGCTAGTTCTTCACTTCCAGTTTTGTTGTTGCTGTTGGGACTAATAAGAGATGAGTCCATCTCACAAACTTTCTTGCCCAGGGTTGACTTCAAACCATTATCTTCAGATCCCAGCTTCCTGAATAGTTAGGATTACAGGCATGAGCCACCAGTACCCAGCTTTACATTCTTTTTAAACAAGGTCTCACTATGGAGCTTAGGCTGCCCTAGAGCTCTCCATCCTCCTGAGTTAGCCTGAGATCCTGCCCAACCAGTCCTTAGAAGATGGGTAGGCACCACCATACTTGGTGCTCCTCTCACACACATCGTGTGTGTGTGTGTGTGTGTGTGTGTGTGTGTGTGTGCCAGTCATGGGATTTGAAGTCAGGCTGGGCACTGTCCCTGAGCTTTTGTGCTCAAGGATAGCACTCTACCACTCAAGCCACAGCTCCATGTCTGGCTTTTTTAGGTGTTCAAATAGAGATAGGAGTCTCATGGACTTTCCTGCCTGTGCTAGCTTCCATTCATGATGCTCAGATCTCAGCCTTCTGAGTAGCTAAGATTACAGGTATGAGCCACCAGTGCCCAGCTCACCTAGCTTTTTAATGTACAAATTCTTTGAGCACCTGATCACAAAGATGCTGAAAAAAAGAGACACTGGTTCCTTCCAGCCTGGGAGAATGGAAGAAGTATGAGGAGGAATTTCCCAGGATGCACACTGCAGCCACTATTGGCTCATCCTGAAACACAGATAAGGGGGAGATTGCCCATTGTCACAAGGCCTGTCCCATTTGCTTCGTAAATTTGCTGAGTAGACCAAAGATACTGCAGAAGGAAACTGCCTCTGGGTAAAACCTCAGTAAACAATACCTAAACTTCTAAACTGGGCACTGGTGGCTCATGCCTGTGATCCTAGTACTCAGGAGGCTGAGATCTGAGAATCATGGTTCAAAGCCAGCCCGGGCAAGGAAAGTCCGTGAGACTCTTATCTCCAATAAACCACTAGAAAACCAGAAGTGGCGCTGTGGCTCAAGCGGAAGAGCATGCGCCTTGAGCTGAAGAGCGCAGGGACAGAGCCCATGCTTAGAGTTCAAGCCCCACGACCGACAAAAAGAAAAAAGAAAAAAAGGGAGGATATGGTGAGAGTCTGCTAAAATTGTAAACAAACTCATAAAAGAAAGTGCTTGAGGAGAAACTGCCATTTGATATTCCAGCTGGATTTGCATTAAATAATTATGGCATCTAAATTTACAAGTACTTAAAAATGGGGAAATTCAAGGATGGCTTGGCTCTATGTCTTTTTCTTTTTTTTTCTGTTTTGTTTTACTTTGTTTAGTTTTTGTTTTTTCTTTTGGTGCCAGTCCTGGGGCTTGAACTCAGGACTGAGAGCTATCCCTGAGCTTTTATGATCAAGGCTAGTGTTCTACCATAGCTCCACTTCTAGCATTTTTGGTAGTTTCCTACCTGGGCTGGCTTTGAACCATGATTCTCAGATCTTAGCCTCCTGAGTAGCTAGGATTACAGGCGTGAGCCACCTGTGCCAAGCTCTGCTGTTCCTCAGTTTTCTGGTGCATAAGACTGTTCTTCAGCTCTCTTGGTACCATGCTACTATTCACTTTGGCTAGGATTACTGGCATGTGTTACCACACTCAACCTAAACAGATGGATTTTTACTTAAGGTTTTTTTTTTTTTTTTGGTCAGGTCGTGGGGCCTGAAATCTGGGCCTGGGCACTGTCCCTCAGCTCTTCAGCTCAAGGCTAGCACTCTCCACTTGAGCCACAGCGCCACTTTTCTGTTTATGTGGTGCTGAAGAATCAAACCCAGGGCCTCATGCAAACAAGGCAAGGGCTCTACCACTGAGCCAACTTCCCAGCCCTACTTAAGGTTATAGCTGTTTCGAATTTTCCCAGAGAATTTAGAATTTGTACTTTTTGTTTTGTTTTGTTTTGTTTTTGTCGGTCGTGGGGCTTGAACTCTGGGCCTGGGCGCTGTCCTTCAGCTCTTCAGCTCAAGGCGAGCACTCTACCACTTGAGCCACATCGCCACTTCTGGTTTTCTGGTGGTTTATTGGAGATAGGAGTCTCACGGTCTCTCCTGCCCGGGCTGGCTTTGAACCGAGATCCTCAGATCTCAGCCTCCTGAGTAGCTAGGATTACAGGCGTGAGCCACCAGCGCCCAGCCTTTTTTTTTTTTTTTTTGTGGGTTGTGGGGCTTGAACTCTGGGCCTGTTATCCCTGTGCTCTTTAGCTCAAGGCAAATGCTCTACCACTTGAGCTACAGCACCACTTCCGGTTTTCTGTAGTTTTATTGGAGATAAGAGTTTCACAGACTTTCCTGCCCAAGCTGGCTTTTTTTTTCTTTTTTCTTTGTTTTATTGTGAGAATACCATACAGAGGAGTTACATGGGCAAGATAACAAGTATATTTCTTTTTTTATTATTATTGTGAAAATACTGTAC